AGACCCTTCATCTGATGAAGGGTCTAGGCCCGAAACGTCAGCCTCTCGGCTCCTATGATGCTGCTTGGCCTGCTGTGTTCATCCAGCCCTGCACCTTGTTGTCTCGGATTCTCCAGTATCTGCAGTTCCTACTATCTCTGAAACTATACAGTGTGCTTAATGTCAATGGTAGAAAAGATAATGAAAGTTTTACTGAAAGTTGTAATGGAGAAAAAGAACTAGAAAACAGAAATACACTCAATGCTGATTTCAAAAGGTTATACTTGATCAACCTTGTTGAATTATTTGAAGAACAGAATAGAAATAGTAGAGAAAGATACTGGAGCAGATATCTACCACTTCAGATCAATTTATATCTCTACTTGATATAATTTATTAACTCTGAAATGCCTAGATTTTAAAATACTCATCCCTCCTTTCTAAAATTCTTCTGTTGCCTCATTTCTTTGTACATGTAAAACCTCATGCAGACAGTCCTCTTGAACAGTCCAAAGATGTGCAGGTTAAGTAGATTGGCCATGCTAAAATTGCCCATACTGTTCAGGTATGTGTAGATTAGGTGGGTTATAGGGGGATGGGTCTGGGTGGGATGCTCCGAGGTTCGGTGTGGATTTGTTGGGCCGAAGGGCCTGTTTCCACACTGTAGGGATTCTATGATTCTATGAAAAGTGTATTTTTGAAAATGAATTGACAATTCTAACTACAGTGCCCATTTATAAATGGGTAAAATTGCGAAAGCAATTTTTGTTCGGTAAGCTTCATTTCCAAAATAATTTCGGTTTATCAAAAAATACTTTCAAATTTGAATTGTACTAATCCAGTCTTGAGAAAGTGGAGATGAGCTGCCCTCTTGAACCCCTGTAGTTCTTGGAATGTATGTACACCCATAGTGCTGTCAGGGATGGTGGTCCAGGATTTTAATATGAAGAGATGGTGCTGCCAAAGCAGTCACGTCACTGGATTACTAATCCAGCAATAAAACCAACAAAGAACTGCAGATGTGGGTGGTCTGAAACAAAAGCATAAAATAGTGGAGAAACTCTGCAGGTCTGGCAGTATCTGTGGACAGAAAGCAGAGTTAATGTTTCGTGTTGGGTGACCCTTCATCAGAACCAGCACCCCAGGCTAATGTTCTGGGCACAGGGGTTAGAATCCCACCATCGCAATTGAATTCAATAAAAGTCTGGGATTAAAAACTAGCCATGTAACCATAGCCAATGTCATAAAAACCCTACTAGCTGGTGGTCTACTAATGTCCTTCAGGGAAGTAAATCTGCCATCGTTACCTGGTCTGGCCTATATTGATTCCAGATCCACGGCAATATTCTTGTCTATTTACTGCTGTCTGGCTAATGAGAGACGTACAGTAAATGCTGGCCTAGCCAGTGATTCCCACATCACATGAATGAATTTTTTAAGAAGACAGGATACTGTATAGTTCATTCACTGATCAATGGAAGAGCAAAAACAGAAATTGACACAACCTTGCATGGTGTTCTCATTCAGTGTATTTTTTTTCCCCAGTTGGAGAAAAATCAAGCATTCCCACAATATACAAACTAACAGAGACAGCAACAATTCTATCAAATTCAAAGCAAATTCAAGTTTTATTGAAAAGTCTACATCTATTGTTAATAAAGACAGAGAATGCTGGAGAAACTGAGCAAGTCTGGCAGCATTTGTGGAGACAGAAAAGTTAATATTTCGAGTTGAAAGTTGGACTCAAAATATTAACACAGAAAAACCGAATATACTGTTTTTTAAACTCGTGATTTAGCTCAACGTGTAGTTTTTTTTTTAAAATCATAGTAGGAATTAAAATTCCATACTTATTAGATTTGTAACTTCTGGATCAGATTTGATAACCCCCTGCTGTGATTTAACTGTCATTCCTCTTCTATTTCTTTTATTGTTGTACTTTTCCATTACTTTAAACAATTCCTATATATTTTCCCGTACTTTTTACCAGCAATCCATTACCCAGTATTTCAAATTTCTGGGGCATCATTTGCAGATTGCAAAGTCTATTTTCATCTCCTTAATTGTGCCAGCTATCTCCACCAAAACGGAATCAACTATGGTCCGGTTTCCAAACTGAGGTCACGATTATATTAAAAAAAAAAGGTTTTTTAAAAAAAAATTTAAGAACTTCATGTGATGTGGGCAAAGGCAGCTCGTGTTATCCATCCCTGACTGTCCATGAACGGAGTAGCTTGCTTGGATATTTCAGAGGGCAGTTAAAAGTGAACCACAATACTGTGTATCTAGGGTCACTTGTACAAAGATGGTAGATCATCCTTCCCTAAAGGGATGCCAATGAATCTGACAGGTTTTTGTGATAATCAAAATTAGTTTTGTGTTAACCACAACTGTAATCTGGTATTAAAATCTCACCTATGTCCCTGGAGAATTACCCCAGTTAATTGGATTAATCATCAAATGCAATTACCACCACACCACTACCTCCCTCTAATTTGATACTGTTAACCAATTATTTACCATTCTTTGAAAGCTAAATGGAAGCTAAAATAGTTCATTACCTATTATTAAACAACCAGAATTAAATGTTTTCTTCAGTCTATATCTTCACTAATGCACTTTATGAAACATATTTTCCAACACTACTTCAAATTAACTGGAAAAAGTAAAATGCTAAAAAGGTGAATTGCTATAAAAAAAAATCCAAATCATTGATCTTCACTATCACAATCTTGAATTAATGAACTTTGATATTCTACAGTATTATACGGTTGAATAATAATTTTAGATCTTAATGTTGACCTATACATATAAAATGGAGTCAAACTTACATTTGAAATGATTACCCGCATTCATTTTAAACAAAAATAATTGTCCACACAATTCTGAAGACTATACAATACAAATTAGACAACTATATTATCAAGCTTAACGCAAATGAGCCATTGAAAGAAAAAGTACTTCACTAGTGCAAGTTCTTCAACACCAATGACAGACCTGAAACCACTTGGATTTCACCTAATTTCCACACATTTCAAAATGCTCTCTCCAAGCACAATCTAGTTAAGAGTGGATAAATGCTGCAATTATACTGTTGACTGGTTTTCACAATTCAATTTGACATAGTAGAGAAAATTATTACACTCATCATCAGGATTTCAGTCAAGTGTAATGACAGCACTGATGTTTCAGTATGCATTGCATGATGGACTGAATTAGAAGTGTTACTGTCATGGACAGAATTTACATGTACCATTGTTCTCCATGATCAAAGTGTTGTTAAGTGTGATGTAAGTAACTTTTCCTACTCTCAAAGAAAATAGACCCAGTGTAATGACACCAGCAGCAAGCTTTTGTGAATTTAAAAATGAAGATTATTTATTATCACACATGCGCCTCACTGGTTGTATATGTGCATGAGATGGCACAATTTAAAAGATTGCATAACGAAGAAAATAAAAGTACAATTTCAACCAGAATTATTTCTCCTCTTTCTTAGCAGGTCTGCAACATCTTACATGAATGGATGATTTAACTAGACGAGAGATCTTGTAAAAGCAGGAGGTTCCCAGTAAGCTACAAGGCTTCTTGAAGTTGAATTGTCTCAGTGGTGGAGAGCCCTTCTCTTACATTCGTGGTACAGCTGTTTAAAACTTTGGCTGCGTGGACGTATGCTAGCTTCAGAGTATAATCGGCTATCATTTTTGAACAAGGTAACAAACACTGATGTCTTACACATGTGACCCGATCATAGTCATTTTCCAAATATGATGGTATTTTGTACAGGTAACATCCTCTGTTTTGGCTTTTCACCTCCTAAGAATTTGAGGCAGCCAAAGTCTTTACGTTTGGAATGAAGAGCCATCACAATACGACCAAAGGTCATTGAAATCGATTTCAGAGTTGTCCATCAACCATTGAGTTTCGATGTCTCTACTGTTCATGGTAAAGTAGAAAGAATAGTCATCTGGTATGATGCAGTCCTGTTATTAACAGTCCTTTAAGGGATGCATGAATTTCACAAATACCTGGATTATGTGCGACTAATCACGTCCTATTTTGTGAGTCTTCTCAGGACGATCAATGCGATAAAGGTATTCTGCTGGTACAAAGTAGCCCAGGTATTCCACATTGTCTGGAGTAATATCGTAGTGATAGTGTCCACCTTCTCCATGATGGCTGAAACAATGGGTATGCTCCAATCGAAGGTCAAATCCCTTGTGAAAGAAAACAGGTCAATAAGTTCATTTTAAAAACAGGGCCAATGCAGTGAATCCCAGTAAACATTTTGATAGGTCATTTCTGTATTTTGCTTCTAGGAAATTGAAAAATCAACACTAAAATTTTGCAAATCATCTTTGTTTAAAGCCATGAGGGAAATGGCAACACATTTTCATTTTTATCAACCCTAAAAAATGTAACTAAAACAGCAACATGTATTGAAACAGTAATGAAGTACTTAAACACTGATTTGATAGTTGAGGTTTCTAATCTCTAAAAATATACACTCAAATACCAGAAGGGTGCCAGAAAACCCATGGATTAATACACTATAAAATGGATCTCAAGTTGAAAGATCAAAATATAATTCAAATATTTGAGAGTAAAAACAAATTTAAGTGCATTATGGTTGCATAAGCATTTAGCATTCAACTTTTGTACTATTGTTTACTTGGCGAAAAAGCAGGTTATCCAATTAATTCTGCATAAAACATTTCTACAACACAAAGTTCAAGTTTCCTTTGCAATTAGTGTGTTAGCAAAAAGCTGAGGTTATTGTGAACATCACTAGGTGGCACACTGACAGTGTGCAGGCACAAACACAGCTTGACAGTGGGAACGCAATTTGCGGAAACAAGGATGTTATCCTGCCATCTGTTGTAGGGACGCCACCTCTAGGTGGAGCAAGAAGCACAAAGGCGCAGGAACTCCTCCTGGCGAGTGATTAATGTAGCTGCAGAAACATAGTCTGTTGAGCTGGCCCTGGAGCTTCCTGTGAAACAGGGGAAAATGTGCCCGGTGCTGTCAATACTGCTCAGACCGCAATCTCTCTCCCGCCCACCATGAGGAGCCATGTGGCTGAATAGTCAGCACTCCTTTGTGACCTGTGCCCCCACTCCAGGCCTGCTCCCAGATACTCCTGGAGCTTTGGCCTCAGAGCCATCTATACTTCCACAGCCATTGTGATGTTATCACCATCCAGACTTGGAAATATGTTGTTGTTCTTTCACTATTGCTGGGTCAGAACCTTCGAACTCCTTCCCTGACAGCCTTGTGGGTCTACCTACAGCAGCAGTTCGAGAAGGCAGCTCACCACTGCCTCTCATGGGCAAACTAGGATGTGCAATAAATACTGGCCCATCTTATGAATGAATAAAAAAAAAAATTACATATGGGGGGTGTCATGACATCAGCTGTACACGCACAAGTTCATTCTGGCTTAGGGGCATCTGTCGCCAGTAGATGATGTCATCAGGCCCATCTGCACACGTGCAAGCGTCATTGTGATGGCCATCTTTGCGTCCACTCTCATTACTTCTTGTTATCAGCGTTCAGGGCAGTGTCAAACTCTGGTGCATCAGCTCACTGAAATCAGCAAACCTTTCACTTCCTGCTACAATGATTGACAAAAACATTTCAATACAAATTTAAAATTTTGAAAGAAGTTCTTTGGAGGTTGACTTGTGTGAAGAAATATCTCCCTGATTTTACTGAGACTCTTCCTATGCGCTGTAAACACTAACTGGAAAGAGAGCCAGCTTCACAGATCAGGCTGCTTGTGCATGTGTGAGATCTCCTGTCACGTTCATGGGTTTTTGCTGTCTGTACATTTAATAAAAACATACCCCTGTCAAATATCCCCCTGTCCAAACTCAATGTGACCCCCAGAAGGAAAAAAATCTCTGTAACACCTTGGAAATCATCGTCAACCTTGACAGACCTCTGAAAAATACCTCGGGGGAGTGTAATGGGCCATCTGTGTCACTGGGTGCAAGAGATACTCTTTTTTAACAGAAGGAAGACTCATCATAGCAAACATTCATTTTAACAAACTGCCTGCAGTTTCCAGACATGCACCAATGCATCCTGCTAAAGAAGGCTGTCCCACAGCTAAGTGTAGAAAGCTCACTCTTCATTTATTGAAGGATACATCAAATTAAACAAACAAACGTTTAAAGAAAGATATTTTTGGGGTTATCAATCCGATACAAATGTAACTTCTTGTTAAATATCTAATTTAATCTTTACTTTTAAAAAGCTCCTGAAGGACACAGAATGCCCAACATCTGTAAAAGTTGGTCCAGATTTTAATTCTTACCAGATCGCGGGACACAAATACTGACTGGCAGATGAGAGGAGCACTCATGTCAAAGAACTTCAGCCAGTTATTTACAGCCTCGTTGCTGTTCAAAGGACAGGTGGAAAACTCTGGCTAAAAGAAAAGAAACTGAACAACTTTAAAATCAAAGAAATACCACTGATGGCAATAGATATCACCTAAAACAAAAAAAAAAGGTGTCCGGTGTTATTGGTTAAGAAAACAAAATATTTTCCTTCAAAGCTCCGCTCTCTACTTGTTCAAGATCTAGAAACAACACTTCTACACCATAATGATATCTTCCAATTCCAGGAAGTCCATGTTCAGGAGGAATTCAGGGCAGATCCTGGAGTATCACACAGCCCCTAGTAACTACTGTACTCCAATTTGTGATTGGAGAACAATGATTATTGGTGATCCCTCTGAACCTATGACACACCCCACCCTGTGGGAATAGGGCTAGCTGGCTAGAAGGAGGTCAACCTTTCACTGAAGCCACCAGTTCACAAGCGACAAATTTTGTTTTTCTCAGCAATGTGTGGCCATGTAATCACTGCATCTTTAAGGCTGCTTGGAGGCACTCTGAAAATTCTTGTTGATGTGGTGAGCTCTTGGCAGAGGTCACAGACATCTCCTGACTGGGCGCCTTAAAGGATATAACTCTATACACCCTGAAGATACCCCAATGAGAATTCAGCATATTCTCCACTAATCCAATACATACAGGGGCGGCACGGGGCTCAGTGATTAGCCCTGCTACCTCTCAGCACCAGGGACTTGGATTCAATTCCACAATCGAGAGACTGTGTCGAGTTTGCAAATTCTCCCTGCATCTGTGCAGATTTCCTCCAGGTGTTCCAGTTTCCGCGCACGTTAGGTGGATTAGCCGTGTTAAATTGCCCCGTAATGTCCAGGCATGTGTAGATTATGTGGGTTAGCCATGGTAAATGCAGGTTTACAAGGATAGAGTAGGGGGATGGGTCTGGGTGGGATGCTCATTTGAGGGTTGGTGTAACTCGATGGGCCGAATGGCCTGCTTCTATACTGTAGGGATTCTATGACATCATGTACGAGCGCAAAAATATGTTTGAGAAGTGGGGAGGTAAAGAACTGGACATTTATACTTCATGTATCCAAAATTATTAACAAAGACCAATAGTAATCCATCTAGCTATTACAATGATTGACATCCTCATTGTATTAACAATCCCCCTCAAGTATGCTTTCTGATTTACGATCTGAAATAGCAGCTCAATGGTGTTAAGGCAGCTGAAACTGAAATAGTAATTTCTTTTATTTTTGGTGATTTCTATCAGTCACCCACTCTACCTTCGGACCCAGATGTAAACAGGGAATGTAGTACGGCCCTGATAACTGAGCAAGACCTATGTGTACTGTACTCTGGAGAGTTCTCAGCTTAACTTTGGTGTCAAGGTGGTTCCAAGATGACACACATGCTGACGGAAATGCAGAACTATATCAATTCCTGCAACTGATCCAGTAATTCCAGATCCAAATCTGGCCAAGTCCCCATGACTGTACGTGGTGGGGATGATGAACCAGGATACTGGCAGAGTAACCCAGTTACTCAGCTGCAGGTAGAGCACTGCTCCAACAGGAAGGTGGACAGCGAGTGGAAAGCAACTCTGGTAAATTGCATGAATTTAGAGAGATAAACTTGAGCTGTATCCCAGCACATGCTTGGAGAGCTGAACACCAGTTTTTTTTTTAAATTATAGAATCCCTACAGTGTGGAAACAGGCCATTCAGCCCAACAAGATCACACCGACTCTCTGAAGAGCATCCCACCCAGCTGTACACTCACACCGAATCTCTCTCAGATCAATAAGTAAAGTTGTGTTCTTATGGAGGAAGAATTTGTATTCCTTATTCAGCCAACAGAAACTGTGTAAGTATCTGCATATTGGATAGTTGCGTGTCATGGAGTAAGAGACAGCTAAACCTGAATGCCATTGTGTCGGGCTGAATGATAAATATGAACAATACATTTAGAACAATAAAACTTTATTACCATGTATTAGTGAGAAACATCTTTCTTGAAAAATCATGCAAATGAATCATGACTTAATCAAAAATGCAAGGGCTGAAAGACTCCCCTCCACAATAAAAGGAGTTTCAACATTAAACTTTCTTTCTGATGGCATAATTTTCAATTAACCAGAGCATGATGAAAGTCTGATGAAAGCTACTCTGAAATCAAACCTCTAATAAACCCTCAGGGTTTACCTAGGCAACTCAGAAATATTGGTCAGCATATCTCCAAGGGTAGATGTTCTTCTATGAGCAGAATGTGCCCAAATTTCCATTAAGAGCTCTCACACCCAGCTAACATTTTGGAAAGGAAACCGGAATTTCAATGTTACTGCCGTATTCATATCTATCCTTCACTTCTCCACCTTAACCCTTACACACTTTTGCAGTGTTAAGTAGAAAACTATGTGAGACTCACCATAACATGAAGTTTAGCTTTGCCTGTTTGAATGAGGAAAGTCCCTCCCATTCCTACAGGCTTATCTCCATAGTGCTGTTCAAGGGTTTCCCTCATACAGCTCACAAAGTTACTCTGTCCAGTTCTTCTGCTGCTTCTTACTTGAACAACCTGTTTTACGACAATATTTTTATTTGTTTACAACATACGTCAAAAACCAACAGAAGAATCGGTGTACACATTTTATGATGAATCCAAGAATATATTTTAAATACTAGCACTGAAATTTCACTATATAATATTCGCCTCAAATGCATAAATCTATTTTTTAAACATATCACACTGTATATTTTCATCCAAAACAAAACTGATATACCAAACTGACCACCAAAAAAAGGAAAAAGTAACTAGACTTATAAACATGATGCAAAATGTGGAAAGAGAATTAAAATATATTTGAAAACACAATTCAAAAATTAAAATACTTTGGAAGATGTAAATCTAAAACAAAAACAGACGTTGGAAATCATCAGCAGATCTGACAGCAACTGAGGAAATAGTTTAATGTTACAGGTCTGTGATCTTTCGTCACAAATGACTTCTTTTTAAACAACTGCCCAATGCTTGGTAGTGGAATCATAGACTGGAAAGGTAGAGCAAACAGTCAATGAATTGGTGAATTACTAGACAGAGGTCAACACACCTGCCAACAGCAGCACCATCCTTGTCAACGCCTCTTGGACGTGAAAGTTTAATGTTCTCAAGAGAATGCCCCCAGACCTGCTGAGTATTTCAGTATTTTCTGTTGTCTATTATATAGAAAGTACAACGTGTTACCTATTAACTGTCCAGTGCAACATACAAGCTGGAGAAGTAATGAAAAATTCTGTGGCAGAAGTTAGTTAATCAGTGATTCTTGTGGTAAAAAGTAACTTCATTGAGGTAACAAGGTGTAGAGCCAGGCAACATCAGAGGAGCAGGAAAGCTGACATTTTGGGTCTGGACCCTTCTTCAGAATATTTCCATAGCCACAAACATTCAACAGCAAGGAGTCAGCGGCTATGATTGGATTGATGCTCTTTCAAACAAGCTATTCCCTGCCAGCTGTCTGGATCCCCAGTCCTTCCACAAAACAATCACTTCAACCCTATGTCCTAACTTCCAGACAACCTGTAAAGCAAATGCATTTACACTAAACAAACAAACGAACTGTGGATGCCAGAAATCTGAAACAAAACCAAAATTGCTGGATATTCTCAGGAGGTCTGGCAGCATCTGTGGAGACAAAGCAAAGTTAACATTTTGGGTTGGGTGAACCTTCTTCAGAACACATTCTTCAAAACGCATTTACACTCTTCGTTTACCTTCACAGATCACACAGTGGGAGACATGACAAAGGACAACTCAGCCTGCTTCATTTCCACTGACCAGACTTCAGGAATGAAAATTTGGTAGGTTGTAAAGCTTGGTTTTGGTTATTTATCAGATCACAGGAAAGCTACAAAAGTTTCTAACACATCCAGAAGTAATAGTTCCATTAGGCACTTATACACTACATTTCTAAATAATGCTCAGCCATTTTTGTGTCCCATCAAGCAAATGGAAAATTTCCAAAATAAAAACAGTCAATATTACCTTATTCCATCGGAAATTTTATGATAAGGCACTATATAAATGCAAGGCTATCTTAAGTAGCATTGAAAGTTGCTATTGTTTTCACTTGCATGTTCTTCAGCTAAAAAATAAAAGCATCATTCTAAATCTCTGCCACTATGCATTCCTATACCACTATCTGTATTCTCTTACTTGGTCACTCATTTGGGTTAATTAGCACTATATATTATCTGGTCATGATTTTGGACTCCGAGCTGAGCATTTTACCCCTCGTCCTAACTACAATATCAAGGCTAACTTCTAACTCCACCAGATTAAGTAAAAACCAGAGCTACCCCAGTGATTGAAACAAGGTCAGCCAGAGAGAAAATATGAGTTTCCTGTTTGGGGCTGTTAATCTGGTCCAATCAGGGAGCCCTGGATGACATAAAACGGTGAACGTCAGTGATACTGAGCCCCAAATGCCTGACTCAGTGAGAGGTGGTGCTACTGTCAAAGGGAGTGCATTTGTAAATAAAGGATGACTGGTGATGGGATGCCGGCATTTGAAGAGTTCTTTCAGCTCTCCTATTGACAACGCTCTTTCTGTTTTCCTATCTTCTATTAATTCCAACTTATCAAAATCTCTGCACCATGCGATTTGATCCTCACCCAGTGCCACTGGCCTATAACACACTGGATTGTATTGAATTCTGGTCTTCTAACACATTACATTTGGAATTGTTAGTACTCTGTCTGAATCTAATTTGGTTATTCCTTACAATTTGTTTTTTGCAATCTCTGCCAGACATATATTCCTTCAAAGTGAACAGTTCCACTAACTGTTACCTACCATGTAACTTCTCCCATCCCTTTACCCCATCCATTAGTGGCAGAACACTCAGCTGCTTCGATTATATATATATTTTGGAACTCCCCATCTAAACATCTTTCTCTCTGAATGAGGTTTTGTTCACCTCTTCCCAAATCACCCTTCTGACCAAATCACCAACTCTAACCCAACCCTAACTTAGCACCAATCTATGAAGTGCCTTGGGACCTTTTCCTCACAATAACTGGCATTGTATAAATATGTTGCCACATTCCTCTTACCACAAAACCATCATCTGGATCAGCGAAAGGCAACTTTGTGGATCATCATTTACATTTGGAAAAACTGAATCCGAATTTGACAAATATTTAACAAAATATCTTTACCGCATAAAAGGCACAAACAGACTGGAATATAACTTACAATAACAGTAGTAGCATTTATTCAATACATCAAATTCTATTCACCTTTCCTGGCTTTCCTTCACTGATGAACAAGTTTGCTAGCAGTGCAAAATCACAGGTCTTGTATGTTTCGCCATATCTCTCAAGAACACACCCACCCGTAGCAGGGTCTATTTTGGCACTATAGCTGTGATTCACTTCAGGTTTACCATTTCCTTTGGTCGAGACATTAGGCATAAGCTAAAGTAAAACAAACCACAAAATCAGTGAACAGATTATCTTGCGCATCGCATCAGGAGATTTATAGTACATTTGGAGTGCCGTTCTAAGTATTAACTGAAACACCCACAATGTAAATTTTTTTTTTAAATCATTAGCATTCAGTAGAAGCCACTTAAAGGACCCACTCCCTCCCCAATATCACAAATGTGTCTCAAGTCCTCAATTGATGTTCAAAATATACTAGTCTCCTCTTATATGAAGCTTACTACATTATAATTATCTACAAGTTTTAATGATTCCCAAATTGGATTTTTTTTTGCAATACATCAAAATACATTTGGTTGGCTACACAAATTGGAAATGCTAGCAGACCATGTTTACTAAAAAAAAAAGACTGCTGGTTATCTCAGAATAACTCAAGGAACAAATTGGGACCTGCTTGTTACTTAAGGTTCAGCACCACATCAGGTGGAGTAATTACCTGCCAAATCATGGTAACATTACATCTAACTAAATTTCTAAAATAATTTGAAGCCTAAACTGAATTGTGTAATGTCATGCATTATTTTCTTAAGAACAGAAGAAAGGAGTAGATTTTATGGCTCCTTGAGCTTTCTCTGCCATTCAATATGATGACGACTGATCTTCTGCCTCAACTCCACTGTCCTGCACACTGCTGATACAGCTTGCTACTCTGAGAAATTAAAATCTATCCCAACCTTGAATATGTTCAATGATGGAGCATCCAAACTCTCTTGGATAACAAATGCCAAAGATTCACAACACTTAAGTGAAGAAATTACTCCACACCTCAGCACTAGATGATCAAACCCAGAGATCGTGCCCCCAAATACTAGGTTACCCAGCCAGAAGAAAGAATCACTCAGTTTCTACCCTGTAAAGCCCCTTGGGAATCCTTCATTTCTCACTGAGACCATATGTCATTCCTCTAAACTCCAGAGAGTACAAGCTCAATTTACTCCAGCTCTTCTCATTGGACAACCCTCTCATTTCAAGCATCAAACAAATCTTCATTATACCATCTCCAAAGCAAGTATATTCTTCCTTGAATATGGAACCTAAACACCATATAATACTTCAGATATGGTCTCTGTAAGGTCCCCTACATTTGTGATATGATCCCAGCAGATGTTTTTACTGGGCAGGTCAGATCCAAAACTGAAGTCTAGTTTGGTAGATCTTCTATTTTATTTCATGAGGTGGTCGTTCAATGAAACGAAAGCGCACAATGCTGCAAATCTGGTCTTAACAATAAGATAGAACTTTATTATGTAAAAGACAACAGAAAGTAGAATAAAACAAGCTATTTACATATAACTATTTTAAAACACACACTAAAAATATAATCCCATCTATCCCATTATCATCACTTTACAGTACTGAAATATCTGAGGTTATTTCTCTATTATATCTGTAGGTTTGAGTTAACTGTTTCTTTCATTTCGCCAAGTCTTGAGAATTCAGTAGCCTCTTCTTTGATTAGTTAAATAACTGAGCTTAGAATTTGTCAACTTCGAATAACCTCTTCACCCTTCAAACCAATGTTCCCTGTAGAATATATTTTTTCCTCCACATAGAATACTGAGGGCCATGCACAGCAGTATTCGCATGTCACTCAGCATGTACTGCACTGTCAAGAAGCTTACAGAGAACATTGATTTTAACCAAACACTTCTGGTCTGGAGCTTACAAAGATAAATCCTTACACTGAGGTAACCTATTTCCTAACAATTCTTTACCATCTCCTTCCTTCAGGAGAAACTGATTCACGCATCTAACTTCAACCAGGACCTCAATTAACTGAATAACAAAAGCTTTCAAAGCTTTAGCCGTTTCTCCTAACCTAAACAAAAAAAATCCTGATCCTTCTAAATGGAAAGCAAACTAATGGTCCTCAATATTTACTCCATTCCATCATTAAACTCTTCCAATGTGAAAGAATTCACATTATCACCCCAAGAAATGTCTCTGTCATACGTTTCTAAAAAAACTGACTCTAGATAGCCTGACAAATTAATCATTAAACTCCTTCACAGACACAGCCAAAACCGCCATGCCACTAAATCAAAATCCAAAATAAATTGTATTAGAATATATAATTCTCACACCTTACACCACAATTGTACAGCAACATTTTTCTTAATGAACCTCCCTGCTGCAACCTCAGTGGTTGAAAATGCATTATAACCTTTTGTGTTTCTTGCATCAGTACTTAAATCTCTCTGAATATCAACATTTAAAAGATTTATGCTATTAATTCTTTGAGGTGGTAATAAACAAGTTAGACAAAGGAGGGCCAGAGGACGTGTTCGATTTGGATTTTCAGAAGATCTTTGACAGGGTACCACACAGGAGGCTGTTAAATAAGCTAAGAGCCTATGGTGTTAGGGACAAGATACTGACTTGGAAAAGGGATTGGCTGACTGGCAGAAAACAGAGAGTGGGGATAAAGGGGTCTTTTTCAGGATGCCAGCCAGATTTAGTGGAGTTCCACACCGTTCAGTGTTGGGACCACAACTATTCATATTATACATTGAGAATCTGGATGAAGGAACTGAGGGCATCGTTGCTACGTTTGCAGATGAGACAAAGATAGGTGGAGGAACATGTAGTGTTGAGGAATCGAGGAGGCTGCAGAAAGACAGGCTAGGAAAGAGGGTAAAGAAGTGGTAATTGGAATACAACATGGAAAAGTGTGAGGTTTTGCACTTTGGCAGGAAGAATAGAGATGTAGACTATTTTCTAAACTGAGAACGGCTTCAAAAATCTGATTGAAACTTAGAGAATACTGAGAGGCCTGGAGATGATGTTTTCACTAACAGGAGAGACCAGGACCCTGGGATACAGCCTCAGAGTGGAGGGACGATCCTTTAGAACTGAAATGAGGAGGAATTTCTTCAGTCAGAGAGTGGTCAATCTGTGGAAGTCACAGCTGCAGAAGGCTGTGGAGGCCAAGTTATTGAGCATATTTAGGACAGAGAATAGATAGGTTCTCAATTATTAAGGGTTATGGGGAGAAGGCAGGAGAATGGGACTGAGAAACATATCAGCCATGATCAAACAGCGGAGCAGACTTGATGGGCTGAATGGCCTAATACTGCTCCTTTTCTATTCTTATTACCACAGTGAATGACCTCACTTCCTTACATTAAATTAGATTTGCCACCTTACTTCCCGCTCACTTAACCTGCCTATAACTCTCTGCAGATTCTTCATGTCTTTTTCAAAGCTTACATTCCCACCCAGCTTTGTATTCCAGCCAACATAGACACGTGATTCTCAGCCTCATCAGCCAAGCCTTTAATACAGATGGTAAATAATTGAGACTGATCTTTGCAACACTCCAATAGTTATAGCCTACCAACTCAAAAATGCCTCATTTATTCCTACTGTCTGCTTCGGGTCTGTTAATTAATCTTCCAAGCATGCGCATGTATCCCTCAGCATGCAGATTCACATTTTGCGTGACATTTTACTAGCTCCCCTTTGGTTTCTTTATTTCTATTTGGCTTTCCTCATATTTTCGTTCAAAATTTTAAATGTTTCCCATGGTTTATTTTAGGTTTTTAGTCAACTGACCTCAAACAACACTACCCTTGTACCTAGCTAACTGTCTTTCTTTAAGTTTATGATTTTTGTTTTGGACTTCAATATGCCATTTTCAAACATAATATGGAATTAAATTATGTTGAAGTATTTGCAATGGTTACCTAAAAATGGCTATCACTCTTATAAGAAACATCTATAATTAGTACCTCTGCAATTACACCCATAGCTTTAAATGATGCTGCTCCTGCTCCAAGGATGAAACCACCAGGCAGTTCCACTTCCTTAGCAACAACATTGAGATTATAGATCTGTAACGGGAAAAAATAATGTACATATCCCTTTATGTTAAAACAAACCTCCCATTGTATATTTCCTGACAGAAGGAACATGTATAAAATCAGGAACATTATTCCCTGTGAAACAATGCTTCATGGTCCTTAAGATTATCTCAAGAATATTATCTCAAATTAAACGATATAAAAACTGGCCTTATCTGAAATTGGGACCATTTTTGATTGATCTCTTCTCATTTTAAACAGGTTGAACTACTGTACAGAAATGTGGGGTGAGGAGTAGGAATGAAAGAGTTGTTGAATCTAATGCATAGAAGTTTAATTACTATCTACAGCAACAAGGCTATTAGTCCAAAGTGCTTCACGATCAATTCAGATGGTTTTCCTGTATCCTCTATTTACTGTACAAAGACATGAATCAAATTAATGTATTCTGACTTTTCTTTCTAAAAACCGACACATTTCAAAAGCCAGCATTGAGTGTAGCTGGAGTAAACTGTCTGGTTAACATGGAGTACGTGGAGGTCAATTAAAAACTTACTGCTGATGTCGTGTTAAAAAGTGTTATATTAAAGCAAACATAAGAGCTCTGGGTGCTGGAGGCTGAAACAAAAGCAGAAACTGCTGGAGGAATTCGGCAGGTTTGGAAGCATCTGTGGAGTGAAAAACTGAGTTAACGGAGGGTGGGCAAGTGGAGAAGAGCAGGGGGTGCACATCCCTGATAAAGGGATCCAATATCAGGGAGGGTGTGCTCTAGCGGGGGCCATACCACCCCCCTCACCACATCATTTTCCCCACCCACCATCCATATTCCTTGCTGCTGAGCTGCTCTCTCCCTAGCTTCCGCTCAACTGACACTGGGTCCTCAGATGGGTGCAGTACTGCCGTTAGCCATCGTATTCCCCAGTGGTGCTGCTAACCAATGCAAAGCTGCTAACCCCTGACTGGCCACGATCCTGCCACTGCCCAGTTAAATGCCTGAACAGCACAATGCAAATGGACCTTTTGAAAAAAAGGCAACATGGTGCTCTGACCAGTTCTCCAGCCACCGAGCGAGACTCCGGTCACCTCCATTAAACATAACCTGGCCTGCAATAATGGTGGAGACTTATCTCATTTCCATCCGCATACATAGATTTTATTCTTACTTTAAATCTTTGTAACTGTATTTTATTTTGATAACTTTATTGCTTTCTACTTAAACAGCTTTTGGAAACAATTGTGTAATAAACTAGTCTTTTGCCTGTGCTGTTGATTATTTTTAAATTGAAACACTCATGCTTAAAAGGAACTACACACAAGCTTCCACATACCCTTAGTTCGTGGCCATTATGAGGACAGTATCAGTCGGTGTTCATGTCAGTTACCAGTGACTCTACGTCAAACCTCAACAAGACTGATCAAAAGGAAATTCACCTCTCACCTTCTCAGTTTGTGGAAGTGGTAGAAGATAAGGAACTCCTCCCACATCTGCTATGCGAGGTTTCCCACATATCCCTATTTAAAGAAAAGGGACACACTGCAGTAAAGATTAACTGTAAGAGTTCAATAGGTAAAATAACCATTAATGTAAATGAAATACTGATTTCAAACCTGATGAAAAGCAAAACAAATGATTTAATGCAATGAGAAATGCAATTTATCGTACTTTGCTTGGAAACCCTAAATGAACTGAACTGGTGAAGGAACGTACAAAGTGATTTTCTCCCTCATCATTTTCCCGGTCTTTGACACTGGAATATACTTCACCTCCTACTCCATTAATAACACCAATCCTTTCAGGGACTTCATTGCAACAGTGTTTAAAACGTGCTTGTGTGCATAAAGTGCAATGATTAACATATACTGGAACAGCCAGCCAGTTTTCAAACTAAACGACAGTGCAAAGTGCATGTGATTCAAAGTTCTTTCATTAACTGAGTCAGCAGTGTATTTATTTGAGAAACATCATCAATGCAATACCATTTTAGCTAAAAAGCAACAGACATAAAGTAGGTGCATGTTAAAACAACAATCCATAGAATCTCAAGAGTGTGGAACCGACCAAACCAATCCTCTGAACAGCATCCCATCCAGACCACCCCTCTACCCTACCCCTGTAACCCCGAACTCCCCATTGCTAATCCACCTAACCTGCACGTACCCGGTCACGATGGGCAATTTAGCATGGCCAATCCACCTAAACTGCATATCTTTGGATTCTCAGCTAGCAGATCAGAAGTTAAATTGTAAACCTGGTTAACATGTTTGCTCATCCCTACGCTGTAGAGTAAGACATTGTCTGATGGATCAAAATCAAGCAAGACTAGTCCCTTCCAGGACTAATCAACCAGGCCTCAAGGCAGACTGACAAAGATGTACTTTATCATTAACTCTGGAACTAGCCCCAAATTGTAATATTTTACAAACCACGTTCTATGAACAATTATTAAATGTAGAAAGAAAATAGGATAGAATTAGGAAAAATATTTAATTTTTTGCTGTTTTTGCAAATGCATTTCTATAGGCAGTAATTCTGACAATTTTACTCCTTGTTGCAAATTAAGATAAAATGTGATTGTCATGGTGACCACATACAATACTTACATGCACGACTTAGAAGAAATTGCTAACTCATTCTGGTTAAATTCTTCCGTTCATTATTTTAACAAAATCTCATCATCTATTCATTGCAAACAGATTGACAACTATTAAAATAGAGAAATTTGTACCTACTATTTTGTTTCATTGCATCCATTTTTTCTGTATTTTGACATCTAATTCTTCACAGAATTCACACAGGTTAGATTTAAAATCCTAGTAACACAATATTCAAACATGCACAATTGTTTCTTTTTAATCTCATCAGAAAACCATAAGATGGAGGAGCAGAAATAGGCCATTCAGTCCATAGAGTTGGGTGCACTATTCAATGAGATCATGGCAGATCTGATAATCCTCAACTCCACTTTCCTTTCTTTCCCCATTACCCCAGATTCCCTGATTGATTAAAAATGTCTACCTCAGCCTTGAATATACTTAATGACCCAGTCTCACAGCACCCCGTGGTAAAGAATTCCACAGATTCATAGCAGTCTGACAGAGGTAATTCCTCCTCATCTGTGTCTTAAGTATGTGATCCCTTACTCTGAGATTACACTCTCTCATCCTAGACTCTTGACAAAAAGGGAACCAACCTATCCGCAGTTATCCTGTCAAGCCTTCTAAGAATCTTGTATGTTTCATTTTTCCATACCCCAAAGAGTACAGGTCCAATCTACTCGACCTCTCCTCATAAATACAGTTCCTCCTGCTATCAGGCTCGAGAACCTTCTCTGGCCTGTCTTGATGCCAGTATATCTTGCCTGAGATTAGGTGCCTAGAACTGTTCAGTGTTCCAGCTGTGGTTTGACTAGTGCCTTGTGTAGTTTTAGTAAAACCTCCCTACTTTTATACTCCATTTGCTATGAAATAAAACCCAACATTCCATTTGTCTTCCCTAGTACTTGCTGAACTTGAAAGTTAGCATTTTGTGATTCATGGACAAGAACTCCCAAATCTCTCTGTTCTGTCACTTTTTAAATAATATTCAGCTCTTCTATTGTTCCTGCCAAAATACATAACCTCACATTATATCCATCTGCCAAGTTTTTCCCCACATACTTAACCTATCTATATTCCTCTATACACACTGCGTCATTCTCGCCACTTGCCTTCCCCACAAAGGGAAGGGCTCATTGGTGCTTTGTTATGCACATCCTGCATTTAAACCTAAAAATTTTATGAAGTGCCGATTTTAAAATCTTTGGCAATTGGAGCTATACTTAACCTGCAGCAGCAAAAGTGAATGGTTCCTGTGCGAGGTCTGGGCAGTCCACCACGCACACCTGAACATTTGCAAAGTTTTTCTTCAGTCCATCCTGCAACACTGAAAGGGAAACAACAGACTTATTTTACCCCAAAATATCTTTTTCCCAGTTCATCTGCAGTATAGCAGAAAATAATGGTCTCATTTTTCACTCAGCCATTTAAGGGTACATGAATAGGAAGGATTTAGAGAGACATGGACCAAATTCTGGCAAATGGGACTCGATCATAGAATCCTTACAGTGTGGAAGCATGCCATTCAGCCCATCAAGTCCACAATGACCCTCCAAAGAACATCCCACATCCTACCAAGACCCACCCCATCCCTGTAACCCAGCATTTCCCATGATTAATCCACCTCGCCTGCACATTCCTGGACACTACAGACAATTTAGCATGGCCAATCCATCTAACCTGCACATCTTTGTGACCGTGGTAGGAAACCTGAACAACCAGTGGAAACCCATGCAGACACAGGGAGAATGTACAAACTCCACAAAGTCACCCAAGGATGGAATCGAGCCCAGGTCCCTAGTGCTGTGAGGCAGCAGTGCTAACCACTATGCCACCATGTCAGATCAGTTTAAGATGTCTGGTCAGCACAGGCGAGTTGAACTGAAGAGTCTGTTTCCAAGCTATATAACTCTTTGACCGTTTAGATATGCACTTGTGATGTCGAGGCATACAGGGTTAAGTGCTGGAAAATTGGATCAGATTGGTTGGGTCTGTTTTCTACTAGCGTCGACTCGATGGGCAGAATAGTCTTTTTCTGTGCCGTAAATCTCTATAACTTCGGGGTTTGGTATAGCCAGTTAATTACAATTGCAGCTACGAGGAGGAGTTAATTATAACGAATCGCAGTTAACTTGTCCAGCGATAAACAGTGACAGTGCAGTGCACCCCAGAGGTAGAACCTTGTTTTGCAAAACTGTCACATGCTTAATCCGGCCTCCAAGATCAGACCGTCTGCATTAGAAGTTGAATCAAATGAGTTTCCTTAGTCCATCTCCGATGGCGAGATTATTGATGAATAAATACTTTATTCACAACAGCATCAGTACAGGATTTTTGTGGTCTAATGGTCCCTGGACTGTCTGACCACTCCGTGCAACGCGTTCAAAACCACGATCACCATTTGCTTTGTATCCCACCTACATTATACATAGGATTTCCCTGCCCCCCCCTGCAAATAGTGCGGATAATCGTTGTGAAATACCCCAGCGCTTTACCTCGACAAAGCTCCTCCAAATCTGGGACATGAAAAGCAGATTTCTCAATTCTTGCAGCCATCGCACTCAATCCTGTCCGACTATGAGGTTTCCCAGCGAACGCGGAGTGGGTTTTATTCGGACTGTGGTTACTTATTTGCACGAACTGGGTAAAATCTGGGGTCAATCCTACAAAATTTACAGTCTGCAAAAAAACCTCACTCCGCCCCATCGCCAGAAGATGGTAGTGTGGGAGGGAAAGACTCTTTAGGCGGATCTGGGAGAGGAAGTTGCACTGAACACATTTGTATCAATTTGTTACAATTTGTAACAAGTTTTCTACTTGGCTGCAAGAGCAGACGGTGTGTTATGTACATGTTTAAAGTAGTTACACATTTCCAAAACAGAAGGGACAAATGAATAGGGAGGCAATTTATCTTTGCTTTTAAAATAAAAAGCATATTTAATCTTAATATTTAAAGTTCTGCTTGTTTGGCGTTCACTTGGTACAACTGCAGACACGGATGAGTGCAGTATCTTTGTGGTGAACAGTGCACGTTTCATCCGGTTGAACCGCCGGGTAAGGTTTCGGCCGTGCCTTTGCTAGGATGCACCGAGCTTCTGGTGAAGGGGGTGAGTTGGGTTTTGTGGGGAGTTGGTGAGAAGCTCGGGGGGTGAGTAAAGACAGCGGGAGAGCCCCTGGGATCAGCGCCTGTCTGTCCTGGACGCTGCGCTGAGCAGTTATAGTCAGCTGCAGTCGATGAAATGTGGCGTTGGGGGAAGAACAGCAGGTCAGACAGCACCAGAGGAGTAGGGAAATGTCGACGTTTCAGGTCTGGACCCTTCATCAGACTGTCCTCCTGTTCCCCTCCAGCTCCACATCTTATCGACTCTGAATTCCAGCATCTGCAATCCTGTAGCTCCTCCTGTTACCCAACCCGGCCCAACAAGCTTTCACTTTGTTTTAACACTTCCACGTGTCGTAATATTCTTTTTCTTAACATACGTTTTGTAAAATGTTTCAAATTACCAATTCCCCGTGGAATTAAAGCTGATTTAACTTGACCTGCTGTGCACAAGGTATTTAGCAAATGTGAACAGAACGGAGAAAAGGAAATGTTAAAACGCCTTCCTCCATCGGAGGTGGGGGGAGCTAACTTTTAATTTCAGGCAAAAGTCTGCAGTTCTTGTTGTGCAGTGAAGTATGGTGAGATCCGACTCGAAAGAATGTCCTAACATGAAGCTGGAGGTGTTGGAAATGAATCAAAAGCCGTATTGTAGGAATAGGGCTGCCAGATCATCCTCATTATTTCCAGTGACAATCATTTGGGTTTTGAGAAAATGTTAACTTATTTTAACTAACTCTCAAACGCATAAGTTTTTTTCTATAATGTGCTTCCTTCTTTGAGATCATAAATCATACTTATACTGTTTGATGCTGACAGCTTTGCATTTGGATAATTACAGGGCCTAATTATATAAATCAATGGTTACTTTGTGGTGATAGCATTTGATGGATTATTATTCTCGAGTCATTACAGCACACAAACAGACCCTTCGGTCCAACTTGTCTGTGCTGAACAGACACCCCAATCTTACCTAGTCCCATTTGCTAGCATTTGGCCCATAATCCCTCAACCCTTCCTATTCCTATACCCATCCAGGTGCCTTTTAAATGTTGTAATTGTACTTGTCTCCACCATTTCCTCTGGCAGCTCGTTCCATACACACAGTACCCTCTGTGCAAAAACGTTACCCCTGAGGTCCATTTTAAATCTTGCCCCTCTTTCTTTAAACCTAGGCGCTCTAGTTTTGGCCACTTCCACTCTAGGAAAAAGACTGTGGCAATTCACCCTATCGATGCCTCTCATGATTTTATAAATCTCTATAAGGTCACTCCTCTGCCTCTGACGCTCCAGGGGAAAATGCCCCAGCCTATTCAGGCTGTCCCAAAAGCTCAACCCTCAAGTCCCAGCAACACCCCTGTAAATCTTTTCTGGACACTCTCAAGTTTAACATCTTTCCAGTAGAAGGGTGACCAGAATTGTACGTGGTATTCTAAAAGTGGCCTCAGCAATGTCCTGTACAGTTGCAACATGATATCCCAACTCCTATGCTCAATGCAATGACCAATGAAGGTAAGCATGCCAAATGCCGCATTCACCGCCCTATCTACCTGCGACTCCACTTTCGAGGAACTATGCATCTGCACCCCTAGGTCTATTTGTTCGGAAACACTCCCCAGGGCCCTACCGTTTACTGTATAAGTACTGCCCTGGTTTGTCTTGTCAAAATCCAACACCTCACATTTATCTAAATTAAGCTCCATCTGCCACTCTCAGCCCATGGACCCAATTGATCAAGGTCCAGTTGTACTCTGAGATAATTAACTAGCTTCCACAAATGTCATTATTTATAAGTATTTTAATAGGTAATGGATTACAGATTTCAACTCTTCTGCCTTGTTACTATATTGCATCCTGTCATTACTATCAAAAAGAGGCTGTTAGGCAAACATTTTGACAATCAAGTTTTGATTTAGGAAGATTGCAGATCAATAACTCAGGGATTCCATGGTTCACAGTTACATTTCACATAGGATATATACCAAGGCAGCTGTAATGTGCTGGACAAAACTACCAAAAAAATGCTGTAAAGAAAGTGATGTATGGGGATAAGAAAATGGATTGGAGTGTATGGGTAATTGGTATAAAAAAACATTGGTTTAATGCAGATATTTTTAATCATTCAGTTTAGGCAGGAGGGTCTTGAACCCAGGCTTCCTGACCCAACTGGCCAAGTGTAAACTTGTAAATATAACACATTTGGACATCAAATACAGTTTTGTACTGGCAGTAATTGGAATTTCTTTCTTTTTATTGTACTAGGCCTAGCTCAACAGGAAGGAAATGAATTTGCAAAACCATTCAATCATCCCATGAAATGCCAGTGAGCAATGGAATCTGCAAAAATATCTACCTTATCAATTACCGCTGTGCAGTATAATGTGGACATCTATATTTTCCCCTGTCTCACACTGTTATTGAGATAGCTTTATATAAATTGACTTTTTAATCATGAAAATTATATGACTTTCTTGATCAGATTTGCACAGCAATGCTGAAGAAAATTGGAGAGAAAAAATGGAAGGTGAAACAAATATGACAGGCACAAAAGATGACAGTGAAAATAGTGTTTTGCTATTTTCAGATGAAGATGACGGGATTGAGCAGTTGCTACAAGATATTAGCAAGAAGACAATGAAAGTAGTTGCTGAGCAAGTGGACTCGCCCATCTCGACACACAGCTCAGAAGGAGATCATATTCCTGATACTATTCAAGACAAATGTCAGCAGAAAGTGTTGAATTATCAACCTGTGTGCACTAATCCATTTCCTCCTCCTGGCGATATTGGAAGAAATATGGTAGAGTTATCAGAGCGGTATGTTACTGAATACTTAAAAAAATGTAACTCTTAGGTGTGCATTGCTAGCTAGTGGACAATAAGTTTTTTCGGCTTTCTTACTTATTGTGATTATATTACATAATTGGTATTCAAGCACTTTGAAACTTCTATGATTTATAGAAGTTTTGCTCCTCCTGCCAAAAATCCTTTGCTCTTGGTCTCAAGTTTCAATTGACCCAGCATCCATAACCATTTGCGAGAGTGATCAAGAATCTCAGTTTGTGGTATGCAAAATACAATGTCAGTGTACCAGGTGAAGATATTTAGTTGGATTATGAGGGTCCACTTTGCTAGGTATGATTGATACTCTAGGGTTTTTGAAATTTAAAGGAAAGCCATGTTTTCCTATAATTTTCTTTCAACATCTTTTGAAGGCATTATTGTTATATATACTGGCAGTTTTCCACTACCTCCCTCAACTAACCATTATTCATTCTAGACAAGCTTTATTGCTGAGCTTGATCTTTGGGCGGCACTGCTGCCTCACAGCGCCAGGGACCCAAGTTTGATTCCAGCCTCGGGCGACTGTCTGTGTGGAGTTTGCACATTCTCCCCGTGTCTGCGTGGGTTTGCTCCGGGTTCTCCGGTTTCCCCCCACAGTCCAAAGATGTGCAGGTTAGGTGGATTGGCCATGCTAAATTGCCCATAGTGTTCAGGGAGGTGTAGATTAGGTGGGCTACAGGGGAATGGGTCTGGGTGGGATGCTCTGAGGTTCGGTGTGGACTTGTTGGGCCGAAGGGCCTGTTTCCACACTGTAGGGATTCTATGATCTGCTGCTGCTAAATTTATACAGAGTTTCCTTCAAGAATCACTGAGCAATGATTGAACTTGGGGGAGGAATAGGCTTTGTGGGGATAGTGTGTGTTTTCCCTGCCAACTAGTTTCCTCAACTGCCAAAGATGAACTCAATGTCGCTTGTCCTTGAAACAACGCAACATACTTTTTTCTGAAGAACTACTAAGTATGTTTCCCGAAGTTCTACTGCTTCAATTAGTTATTAAAAACCCCAACATTTAACACAATTAGTCCGAGCCAACTACTTTGGCCAGAACTAGGACAAAATCAAAGTTTTCCACCCTCCCCCACTTTCATGAGGTTAAAGAAATGAATATGTCTAATGGGAAGAGAACAGAATCCATAGTGAATTCAGTTCAAATCCAAATTAAAAGATTGCATTGCTCACAGGATTGTACAGAATCTGACTGTTCAGATGATTCCAGCATAAAGTATTTAGAAATGACCTTCTGAACCCAAGATTGGGTCACAATCTTGAATGAATTGTGGATAACTAATGTTTTTGATTTTTTTTTTACCTTTAAGGAAGTTGTTTTAACTTAGATTTCTGTAGCTTAGAGTTGGCTTCCAAAGGGCTACCTTATACAGCACTTTTTAAATTTAATATTAAACTCAGTAGTCATTGGCCAAAATTTGTTTTGGTTTGGGTAATTAGGGGTGTTAAATGCGCTATTCAAAAAGAGAGCAACCAACCATCTAGCTGTTACCTATTGCATATTGCTTTCGTTTTAAATCATTGAAAATTATTAACATTAATTCTTAGCTCTTGTCCTTATGTCAGAATAATTTTCCTTCATTTAACTAAAGTCTAAACTAAACTCAACATCAGGAAGATAACAATTAGCTGACTATAACAATTCCATGCATTCATAGTCAAGGGACAGAACATAAAACTGTGTTTCTCTTTCATTCTTCTTTCTTGACATAGAGACTTGAGGTGGGCACATACGCCTTGGAACAGGACTACATGAGTAGCTAACTTAGGAACTGCTAGCTTGTCGGTCAGTTTTTGCCAACAAAAGCGGAAGATTTATACTTTATCATAGTTATGATCCGAGGCGCTAAGGTGTTTAATGGAACACCACAATGAAAATGGTGGAGTATTAATGTGTGTATGTAAAATAGTTTATGCGTTTGCCTTTTCCTACTAGAGCATTTTTCAATTGGCCCTCCATAAAGCCAGGAAATGTGTGAGATAAGACTTGTATGATTTTAGTTGCTGGGAGATGCAACAAGAATTCTGTCACATAACCTTCAGGTTATGAAATTGTTAAACTAAATATTTCGTGTTAATAGTTAACTTCAGCTCATAGAGGATGGAGGCCTACTTATGGGACTAACCTCTGATGCTTAACACAAGAGAATATGTGATGCTAAACCAGTGGAATTTGTAAAGTAACCATAATCAGATTTCTTGGAGTGGATTACTTTACTCTTAAATTCTCCTCATAATAGACTGTTGTGAGATGTATATTTTTGTGGTGTCATTACAATTTTTGTTCAGTATGGACAGTTTATTTATTCTTAATTCTAGGGAAAGCACAGATTCGGAGAGCAGTTTATTTAAAACACAGCATCCCGTTGTACCACTAGGACAGGCGAGAAGGCGGGGCACCGGAAAATGTCCATCCAGATCAGCCAGAGATCAAACTGCAGAAAATACCGACAGCTCGACTGACTCAGATGACATTCCATACCGTCCAAATTATGTGATGGTTGGTCAAGTAAGGAAATGGCGACGACACAAGAAATACAAAAACAAATCTGTTTATAAGAGGACTGGGCGTCCAGTAGGAAGGCCTCGATCATCCATAACCAAGGCTGAGAAGAAGAGGAGATTGAAGGAACGAGGGCTGCAGTTTCCATTTGTGCAGAAGGAATACGGAAGGAAGCATTTACCGTTTAAGATGATTTTTGCCTATGAGGTACATTGTGTCTTATGCAATAATGATTATAGTCAAACATTCTATTAAATACATTCTCCATTAGATTTTTCAAACTATTGTTCAATTCAAACTATTTGCATATCTTTTATTTGAAAGCATATCTGAAGCATATTGTGTTTAATTTTGTTGTACGATCCCAATGGAAACTGACTATTAACCAGTCACATTTTCTTTGCTTGGCCAAGTCCCTCGTTTTAAAAGGGTTTTCAGGAGATGTGACTTACTCTAGTGAATGCCTAGATAAAGAGTGACAAAGTTAGCTTTCGGTTGCCCTGGCTCATACTCTGAAATAGCCGCATAGAGGCCAGGTCCCGTCACTAAGTCACCCTTTATTTACAGTACACTAACTGTGGCCAGCCAGCTCAGAGCCAGTCTTCAACTGAGGAGATTCTAATCTTCTGGTTACATTCATCAGCCAGGTCTTTCCTGATGGCCCAGGTTAACAACCCCAATCAAGAACCTCGTAGTCAACAAGGTCCACCTGGTCCCAATCATTACATACTCAAAATGATTAAAGAATTATAAGCAGAAGGTGAAACATACAAGATTTCAGTTATCAGTAGCTACAAAGAAAATTCTACTTAGCAACCTTCAGGTCACAAAATTATTAAACTAGATAATTGGAAATAAAACTGGTTTCCTACTGGAGATCTGCTCTCAATGGTATTCCAATTCTGTCTGTCTTGTGCCATCATCACACATCGACAGTAGTTTGTCTGTAATAATAAAACTATTAACAGATGAAAGAATGGGTTTCCAGTTTTCTGTCGGTGCAGCTCTGAGTGGATGTTTTGTCCAGTCGTTAGTAAATTAGTAATGTGTAATATGGGACGCTGAGTGGAAAGTTTTAAAATAAAAGATCTGGAAAGTTCTAACTTTAGGGATTAGCAAAGTTTCTTAAAGCACTTGATTTTTTTTTTACTGCAGGCATTCTTAATGGGCTATTTTCTTTTCACCTTGAGGTGATGGAGGAGAGGGGGCTGTTGCTTCTTTGTGTTATTTGGTGCTTTTTCACACATTTCCAAAATACATTGTCTTTACATCCATAGATTTATTTAACATCAATCAGATTTGCATCCATTTGGTGATCTGCTTGCTTCCAATTCTCACCTTCTGGTTCTGGTCCCGGGAAATAATCTTTACTATCCATCAGTGGCCAAGATTACCTTTTCCTGCACTTGTGCAATCACACATGCTGTTCAATGCTACCAGAGTTATTGAGAAATTAATTTTTCCACTACCCTGATTTTTCACTTCATCTCATTTCTGTTCTTGTTGGCATGTTTGCAAGTGCAGTTGTGGCTCATTTGGCAGTATTCGTGCCTCTCAGTCACAAGGTTCTGGTTCAAGTCCCACTTTAGAACTTGAGCACAGAAATCATGGCTGTCATCTTTTGGATGAATTGTTAAATGAAAACACCATCTGCCCTCATCGATAAATGTAAAACATCTGGCATTATTCTGTTGAAGAGCAGAGGAGTTATCCCTGTATCTTCACCAATATTTATCTCTCATTCAGCAACACTGAAACAGTTTATCTGGCCATTCTCACATTTCTGTTTGCTGTGTGCAAATTAGCTGCCATACTTCACACGTTGTAATAGTGACTACACCACGACTATTATTTAGAGTTATACAGCGTGGAAACACGCTATTTGATCCAACCAGTCCATGCCGACTATAATCCCAAGTTCAACTATTCCCGCCTGCCTGCGCTTGGCTGTTTCCTTCCAAACCTTTCTTATTCATGTACGTATCCAAATGTCTTTTAAAGGTTCTAACTGTACTGGCACTCACCACTTCCTCTGGAAGTTCATTCCACACATGAACCACTCTCAGTTTAAAAAAGTTGACTGTCATGTCTTTTTTAAATCATTCCCCTCTCACCTTAAAAAAAATGCCCCCAAGTCTTGAAATCCCCCTCCCTAGGGAAAAGACACCTGCCATATCTATGCCCCTCATGATTTTATAAACTTTTATCAGGTAACCCCTCAACCTTCTACGAGCCATTGAAAAAGGCTCTCCTTATAACTCAAACCCTCCATTCCCGGTAACATCCTGGTAAGTTTTTTCTGAACCCTCTCCAGCTTTATAATATCCTTCTTATAACAGGGCGACCAGAACTGGACACAGTACACTAGAAGAGGCCTCACCGGCGTCCTGTACAATCTCAACATGACGTCCCAACTCAAAGGTCTAAGCGATCAAATCAAGTGTGCTAAACGCTTTCTGAACCACCCTATCTACATGAGATGCAAACTTCCAAGATTAATGTATGTGAAGCCCTAGGTCTCTGTTCATAGAAGAAGCATAGAATCCCTGCAGTGTGGAAGCAGACCATTCGGTCCATTTGAGTCCGCACTGACCCTCCGAAAAGCTTCCCACCCAGACCCACCCCACTACCCTATCCCTGTAATCCTGCATTTCAAATAACCCTACTAATCCAGCTAGCCTGCACATCCCTGAACACTATGGGCAATTTAGCATGGCCAATCCGCCTAACCTGCACATTGTTGGACTGTGGGAGGAAACCAGAGCATCCATAGGAAACCCATGCAGACATGGAGAGGATGTGCAAACTCCAAACAGACAGTCGCCCAAGACTGGAATCGAACCTGGGTCCCTGCCCTGTGAGGCAGTAGTGCTTACCATTGAGCCGCTGTGCAGCCTCTTGTTTTTTCCCTTCCCCTTCCCCTTCCCCTTCCCCTTCCCCTTCTCACACCACTACCCAAGGCCCTACTTTCAGTAAGTCCGGTTCTTATTTGCATTTATCCAAATTGCTAATTGCTTCTTCCAGCACACTAATTTTAAAATTCATTGATCTCAAAGTTGTCTAGAAATTTCTTCATGGATTGTTCTTCCTATTTCTGCAATCTTCACAATGTATGCTCTGATTTATGCTGTATTACAGCTACTGCAGCCTATGTACTTGCAAGCTTCCCGAAACTTCATTCATTAGTGTGAATTGATTTTGAATATTTATAAAAGGGCATTAACAAGCTAAAAATGAGTGGTTACATTTTGCCTAGCTAATGAAAGAGAATTTCATGTACGCTTGTTAACATGTTTATTACCAATGTCAACATCACAGTTCAATTTAAAAGCAAGTAAACAGAGTCCTTAACTAATGTTTAAATTCTCTTGATTTACAGCAAGCAGCTCTGTGTGGATTATTTACTTACATGAAGGAGCTAAAATGTCAAAAGCACCTCATAAAGTCCTTAGAAAAAATAAATGTAGACTGTCCAGACAGAGAGTGTGGTCCAATAAGGCAATGCAAGTACCTGGATGAGAAAAGACCAGTTTCACCGATACAAGAAAGCAGGTAAGCCTGTACTTCAGAAGTGTAAAATTTCCCCTAGCTCCTTACCTGTGTATGCATGTGTACTGTGTTAATACTAGCCTGTGACCTGCAATTCTTCTAGAAGATCAGTAGTATTACTTTTGGCCTGTCATAATTATCTTAAGGGTCTAGTTTTGTCCATTTGCTGCTCAGTGTAGACTGAATCATTCAGAGCAGGAGGGTACAGACTGTGTTCCGTAGTCTACCAAACAAACTGGTCTTAGCACTGGAGATGATAGGAACAATAGAGTTGTTCTCAATACTCCTGGACAGAGAGAGGGAGGCAAATGGCCCATGGTTTCCACTCCTGATCACTATCCAGTGACTTCTGTTAGGAAATACACATACAAATGTCAGATGGGTACTGGATCAGGCCCATCTGTGATGCCTCCTTGGTTGAATAGCACACTGACACTGGCCATCCAACAATAGAAATGAGAAATGGCCTCTTGGATGAGATACTGGGAGGGCTCGACTTGTTTGAACTTACTACAGTGAGAGACTGAACAATTTTAACTGTAAGCACGGCAACTTTATTGAGAGGTGTGGACAATGGCACATTGCTTTAAAACAAAGCCTGAAATTAAATTCCCTCATGAAGCTGTAGCTGTGTCACAATAGAGACTGCAAGCCAATGGTCTGTGGATAGAAGTGGAGTAAATTGGCTCAGAAGACTCCTGAATTAGTGCCACAAGTCATTAGAACAGTGGTGGGTTGTAAATTCAGTTTCCCCTTGAATGGAAGACTGCATTAAGAGCAAGTAATAAGTAAATCATTGGAGAATGATAGGGAAAGTGGATCTGATGTTCTTCCCTACCCGCAACCAGATTAAAGGTTGGAGCAGCTTGGGTATCCATCCACAGACTTGGTCACCAGCAAAGCTATAGGGGCTGGGAGAAGTAAAGGTTAATCTCTATACCAAAAGAAACCCTGTCAATTGGAAGAGTGATACTGGTCGATGAATAGTTTTAGGTTGTTAACCACCAACTCAGCTGAATAATGTTTATAAAGGAGCATTAACGAAGTAAAAATACCTATTTGTACTTTGCCAATTATTGAACAAAAAAAAATTCACCTAAGATTGTTAAGGTATTTATCACTAATATCAATATCAGTGCAATTTAAAAGCATATAAGTAATGGTTTATTAAGCATCATGTTTATAGCGTTTATAAGAGTGATTCCTTTTGGGGGGGCCCAAAACATTTTTGATTTTTCAATTTTAGGAATGGATTCACTATTAGTGTAACATTCAGCGAATAATGTAACAAGTAGATGTACGCAATCTATTGCCGACTCCTGCTTCCTCTTATTCTTTAATCCATATCCTCTAATCTGCATTTTTGATATTGTGCCAATTTGGATTGCTTGAACCAGGAGCTGTAATTTCTGATAAATCCTGATAAAGTTGGCTGACAATATCAATTAATGATAGGTTCTGATAATTGTATTGCTTTCCATCCATGAGGATGAATGATGCAATTCATTTTCTTATATAATAAACAATTAAAACATTCTCTTCAAGTTTAAGAATAAAGCAGAACTCCTGGTAGTGCTCCTTACATGGTAGAGGGCCACTCAGAGTACCAATTCCTGGTACATCAGGCTAAAGTGACTGGCTACTCTTGCTTATGATGTGAATCTCATTGATTTAATTCCTACATTTTATGTCGGGATTCCAGTTTACCTGCTCAGGGTGATTCTATGCTGAAACTGACTAGCTCCACTTCTTTTATCTGACCCTAGCTTTGACTTAAAAGTTTGATCTTCATTTGTTATAAATACATATTTTTTTAAAAATGTTCTGCAATGACAACACTTGTATTTTGGGTAGCTGACACTGTTTATTTTCAAAAATTAAGACAGATGGATGCATATATCAGTATTTGCAAGTATTTCCAGGGAACAAACCACATGATAAATCTGAAGCTGCTTTCAGTTTACGATATTCACTCCCTGTCACAGAAGGATTTATCGGACATCTTTAAAACCACATAATTCATTCTTGTTCAGTGATACACGTAAGAAGTAGTTTCCTTTCATAGTCATCAGATCTGATTACTTGGAGAGAACTGTGATGGTGCCTCAGCTTGACTTGGGGATTTATTTTTAAACCAACATCTTAAAACAACATTCCATTGTTCACTTCTGTCAATAATGTGATAATACTTAAAGCAGCATTTTTAAGTTATTCTTTCATTTAACATGTACTTTAATATAAACCGCTATGACAATAATGTTTTTAATGTTACAGTGATGAAACCTGCATTGAAGACTTTGATAATGAAAACACGTTCGGTGTAAAAGTTGTGGTAACTAAATTACTTATATTGGATATGTAGTCTCTGCAGGATTAAGTTTAATACAGAATGGTACTTTATATTTATGAATCAGGTAAAGTAATAACTGATAGTATACTCAAACCAAGGGCATCTACCAGATTTACAAATTAAGTATACTGAATCACAAAGCATATTTGCCTATAATTTAGTTTCAATGCCCACCTTAAAAAAGTAGTTAAATTTATTGAACAAAATTTATTCATTGTTTATATTAAAATGGAAGGCATCAAATATTCCCTCCAGTGAAGGTATTTGTAAGGCGTGCAACTGTGAAAGCTTCAGTAAAATGTTATCTGAGCACAGTATATTTGTGCGTTGGCCCAAAACAATACAGCCAAAACAACTTTGTATTTGAAGAATTGTCTTACATATCATCTTTTGACTTTGAATTTTTTTTTATTGTTCCCTCTATTTCCATTAATGCTTTTTTTTTTGCTAAACACTTGATCATTCAGCTCATTACAAAACCTGCTACTCATTTCCCATCCCACATTGTGTTTACTCATCATCCTTGTCCTCAATGAACTGCATTGGTTTCCATTCCCCAACGTTTAAAACTCTCATGTTTGTATTTATATTCTTTCTTGGCTACTTCTGGAACCTCCTCTAGCATTATGATTTTCCACTTTACTTTGGATAACAGGGGGAAGGAAAGCAACAGACAGAGGAGAATGAGAAAAATTGTTCTTGAAATATTTTTGATTTAACAGCCTAGTGTAATTCTCAAAGCACTGGGACAGTGAAAACTAGCAAATAAAGGTAGCACCCTATCTATCATAGTTTCAAAATAAGGTTCAAATGTTCATAGATTTCTGTCTGTTTGAACTGGCTATCCCTTGAATTGTCTGGGTGTAATTTTCCTATTTTCAGTTCAAGTGTTTATAAGAGCGAGACTTATGGCTCCCAGATTACCATGGGTAAGAACAAAGTTTCTCACGGAATCTTCAGCTCTTCACATCATTAATAATCCTGGGTGCCTGTTTCATGAATCTCTCAGCAGGAGGGGAAAGTGCTCACCAGCGTCCACACCTTCTGGCTTTCATGCCGCTGATGACATGATTAAAGCCCAACTGCACACCACTTCAGACGCTGCAAACCAGAAAATGCCCCCCACGTTGTGGTGCCCAACCATTAACCCTGAGGACGTGGCCCAGAGGAAGTGAAAGCTCACCCCCAACGTCACTGACAACCTGGCGGTTTCAGTGATGAGGTAGTGGAGAGGAGGGCAGTCATTTTTTTCTGTACACTGCCACAGTATACCAAGCCACCAAGCCAAGCCAGCCTGAGGTCACATTGCAGCCTGGGTCAGTGCTGTTTTCTAAGTGAAGCAGGTCTTCTAACAGAGCAGCAAGAGGGTTAGTTGCCTTCTGTGCTCCACATCTCTCTGCTAGCTCTCACTCACATCTCACCAGTGCTCATGGTCTACAACTCTCATTGCATGCATCATACCCACTCAATGGCTCTTGCCCACCTCAGCCTTCCAAACTAATAATCCTTTCTGTACTCTGTGTCTCCTGCTTACCACCTTGCCTGCTCCTACATCACCTGTAACTGCTCTACCATCCACTCCCATCGTACTCAATCCCCCCTTCATCTCACTACAGGAAAGTTGAGCCCACCGTCCGGAACTGATAGCACCACAGCACCCTAACCAACCTGCCTGGTATCCCATGACTGGTTGTACTTGATCTGCAGCAGTGATTGCAGCCCAATTCCCAGTCAGATTCCAACACTCTAGCTGGGGTAAGTGCCTGACTGACTGTGGGCAACAGTATGAACTGGAATGTGATGTGCCCCTTGACTGACTGACTGGCACTCCTTGACTGACCTGAGTCCCCTTTTGCCTTACCATAGACTCCTCCACTTTGACTTTCACACTTGGTCATTTACTCAAAGCACATGCAGTATGTTTACCACACGTGCTTCAGGTGTGACGTTGACATGGCACAGTGCTACAGGCCATACATCCATCCCCTTAACTGTTCAGTACTCCTCACCTTGACAAACTGCCTGCCTTTCCTTCTGCACTGAAAAGCAATGCAAACCACAGAGGGTGGCAACCTGTAATTGAGCATTGAAGACCCTGTGTGCTCAGGAAGCAATGTTACGAAACAGAGACTGGCAGCCTGTAAGTCAGTGACTGTTTGCTAAGAAAGCAATATAGTTAGAGGCTGGTAGCCTCCAAATTAGTACAAAGTGAGTGCCATGAAAGTAAGCCATGAGCCACAAGATGCATCCTGTGTAGATACACGAGATGTGTGTGTTTCTCTGTGTGCAAAGCAACCTGCAAATCACTGGTGTTGAAGGGCTAAAATGGTGTCTGAGAGCTGGCTTAGTTTTGTAGTAAGGTTGGTACGTTGCTGCTGCCATTGAGAAAGGGTTGATGAGAATGGTGGCCATGCAGCAAGCAGCAACATAGTTGTGAAAAAGCTGGCTGGGACAAGCATTCAGAGAGATACTGTAGCTGACAAGTACCTGCTGTGATTTACACGTCAATAAGTTGTGCTCCCCAGCTTATCAGGGAAGGAGGAGAGAATTTGGAAGTGGCATATAAATAGAGCAAGTTGGTGTTTAATGGGATTCAAATATGTGGAAGTAACATAGTCACTGCTGAATGGTGAGATTCTGAAGTTGCCATTTAAGGTTTGAAAGGAAAGTCAGGAGAAATGTTGATGCTGAGATTCTGATTTTTCTGTGTATTTTCTCACCATTGCTAACACCACACAGGGGCTGAGGGATGAATTCTGCCTAATATCTTATATTTTTCTTTCCCTTTTCTTGTTGACTTACTACCATATTGATTTATTTTGCTGTACATTCCTACACTGTACAGGAGTATGTAGGTCAACACCATCTTTTCAAGAGCAATTAGGGATGGGCAGCCAATGCTGGCCCAGCCAGCTATGCCCATATCCCATGAATGAATAAAGAAGTGGCTGATTCTTAGTCAAATGGTTCCTGGCAGCATAAAAAGGTTCTCCTAAGAATGAGCAAGAGGCTGTCACTTACAATACCTTCTAAATCATTGTCTTAAACTGTATCTTAAAATATACTTCTCAAAACTTAGACAGTAACGATTCAGTTCAGGCTTGTTATCCCAATTCATAAAACATACCAATCAATGAATGCATAATTCAGTTTATAACCAAAACTTAACCAAAGATGTATTTTGCCACATTGAAAATATTGACTCAATGTTACTCCATTTTTTCATTAGAAATAAATCAGATTGTGAACCTTTACTCATGAATCATGATTTGAACAGGCAAAACCTCTGATTTTATTTCAAGGAATGTTCAGAGTTTGTTAATATTTAACATTAGATGATTTAGAAATATTTGAATGGTTGTTTTGTTACCCCAGAACTTGAGTATTTCTGAAAAGAAACATGCATTTTGTCGATGTTTTTCATCTTGTACTCATCAGGAGATCTCGCAGGAATAACAATTCAAGGGGAAAACTAACATTCATCTGTTTAAGAGGAAAGTGTTGATTCATTGGTATACAAACTCTGGTACAGGTTTTGCCATGGAGAATGCACCAGTTATTGTGTAATACCCTCACCAATCAGAGCCAATCTGCTTGGTTTAAGATTTAAACAAAACCTGGCTGTTGCCTCTGAATCATCATTAATTAGTGCATTCTCCACAGCAAAGCAACTACCAAACAGGATCCAGATGCCAACCAATCAGCACTCTCCTCTCGTGCAGTATAAATATAAATTTCCCTTGAATTGCTATTCTTGTGAATAGTCTTGATTAATATAAGATGAAAAGCTTGGAAAAGATTTTTTTTCAAGTATTAAATGTTTAAATGTACCTGCATCATGTACATAGCATTTTGGCAGTTTTGGCACTTTGTGACTTGATTATTATGGTGTTCTGTAACCTATTCGTAGCGTATTTGGATTCCTGATCCACTAGTCTGAAATTGTTGTCTATATCTTACTGTTCTCAGTCTCTCTATTGCCACTCCAACACTTCAAGGCTAATGTACGTAGACAGTATTTGAGCTAATTCATTCTTTGTTCACAATGTTTGTTTTATTTGTAGGATAACAGCTGTTTTGTAATGGAAAAGTTTGGAAAAAAGAAAAAGAGCCTTAGGAAAAAAAACTCCAAAGGCAAAAATAAAGACAAATGTACACCTAATGGCAAAAGTAAAGCCATTGAGAAAAATAAATCGATAACAGGCCAACAAAATAACACAGAGTCTTCCTCTACCTGAAAATTGTGACAGAACAATTGGCTGTAACAACAATAGGTAGCCCATTGTTTAAATCAGCCAGTCTACAAAGAATAAGTGTATCATTTGATGAACTGGAAAATGCGAAAACACAGGCATCTTTTATTTTCCGAAGAATCCCAAGATCAGTGAACATTCAAAAGAATGAGACAGAATGGAGAAGGTTATCACATAAAGGAAAGAATTCTAGAGAGGTTGGAATGTGAGTCAGTGCATCCAATCCCTGTCGTCAGCATCTCTGCAAGAAATGTTTCCTTTGAGCAGTGACCCAATGGAACAGCTTAACAATGGTAAAAATTTATTGTCAATGTCTAAAGGAAGATGAATAACTGCCAATGGGAATGACTATTTCATTGACTAACCAGTTTTTTTTTTCAAATGAACAGGTCAGCTGCTGGACTGGAAAATTTAATGAATGTATGTCATAATGGCACTCAATTAATATTCCTGCTAAAAATGGTTTTCACTGCAGTGTGTGCATGTTCATAACTGAGAAACTGAGCTCAATAACTTACAGTTGGCTAAAATGTCTGTAAAAAGTCATTTTGTATTCATTTTGAGGACATTCGGTTGTCAAGAATATACAAGTTAAAAATTACGCAACTAAGTATATGGTTGTCATGCTGTGGGCACACCTTGTGCAAAGTGAAAAATATACTGGCAGTCCAAACAACAACAACTGGATATGCTGTGCAAATTAGAGTGGCTAAGAAGTAGTGGCACCTAAAATATTGTTTTAAAAATAACCTGATAAGCAAACATCAAATATTTATAATCCAAATCTGTAGAATATGCAATTAATTATTTAATTTAGACCTTTATTATTTCACCAGTAACTATTTCAGCAAGAAATTTATTTTGGCAGACATTGAATTGAATTGAAAATTGGCACTGGAAATTGAAGATTACATTTGCAGGAATTGTTTTGTGTGAGCATTGTGGTAGACAATGCTGACTAGCAGTCTCTTATGGATGCACATGATTTGATCTTCAGTGACACTCATTTTTATTTTGTTGAATGCTACAGAGAAGCACTTAGTTTTTGTGATAATTAATAAATGGATTATTAAGTTGAACTTTTGATGGTTTTATACATTGTATAAATAATATAGCTAAGATTAGTCTTTTCAACCTGGAAATGTCATTTTTGAATGTGGTTTTGAAGACTTAGTTGGAAGAATGGAAATACTTTGATTCTGAAGACTCCACCTGAATACTTTTATTTTTAGCTTGATTTTCATTACAATATATAGGTGAAAACTGCTAACAATATGGCTTGGATTTATGCTTAAAAGATGCCACATCAGTTCTATTGTCGGTGTTGTTAAGATGTTGCATGTGTTTATTTAAAAATAGTGACAATTTCTTTTGTAAAGTTTTATGTTTACATAGACACCAATAAAGCATATACTAGAAAAATCTCCTGCTTCAATGTTGTCCTTTGGATTTGCTATGTAACTTTGTTTATACTGATTAGTGTAATTTGCTTCTTTACAGAACATTAATATGTAAATTATTCCTTGTGATTCTGTCGGGTTCCACAACTAGACATAAAGCATTCCTGTGTTTAAAATATGTGTGAGAAAACATGAGAAATGAATGGAATCTATCAAATCTGTTCTTTGCCACAAACCACATACAATTGGCTTGAGATGTACCTACTGTAATTCCATGATATTCAGTGCCATGAAAGCTATCCAACTCATTTAATCATCTCAGAAAATGTTCTGTAAATTGATTGAAATTGCTGTGCACACAGCTGACACTTTTTCCATTGCCTTTTATGTTGAATATTTTCTAGATAAATAAATTATCACTTCCAGCCTGCAATCCTCCAATGTTCCAGCCTGCTATTTCAAGCTGTGAAGAAAAGGCTTTCTCTCAACTTCTATATCAGTGGTACACTCCATCCCATCTTTCTTTTTTGGTCATCAAAACCCTCTTCTGTTATCTTCACCTCAAAGTTTTACTTTTGCAATACTCAAGCTGATCTTCACACATCAACCCTGTGAGGAATGTGTTCTGCTCTAGTGAAAATCTCAGTAGATCATGCGAGGATTTTGATCTCTCGTGTCTCATCTACTGAAACCTTGGATTATGAAGACGAGCCAGGATTCAAGTAAAGTAATCTGAAGATAGATAAGTCTCAAAGGAGCTGAATCGTTCTTATCCTGTTACTACTCGCCACTCTAATGTCACATTATGGTTCGCTGAATAGCCCTCAATTGCTTTTGTGGGGAATGGTGTTGAAGTTCATGATAGGAATTTGGAAAATCAGTTTTTACTTATATAGTTTGATCATAATTTTTTTCCATAAACTACCAGGTATTCTCAAACCCAAGTCATTGTACAGCTTATAAGGTGAACATTCCTAATTTTCCATGACAAATATTAACCAAGAATTTCTAACTCAGGTGCCTTGTTGGCTTCAGAATTGAATAGGGAACTGATTTTATTGATTTTGCATAAGATACTTTGTGTGCCCAGTTAAATAACCTCCTACTCCCCACCCCCATTCACATAGAATAGCAGCATTTTGCATTTGACACTTTTTGTTGACTTACAGATTTTGATTATTTTCTATTTCCTTTATCTTTCCCACCCTGCCAAGACCCCAAATTTACAGAGTTGTTGTAACTGAATTGTTGAAAACTATGCCAGCCTAAGCCAGAATTGGCACACTTTCCAATGAATCAAGGTTGGAGGTTCAAGCCTTGCCTCATGTCACCTACACAACACATTCAGTGTGGTACCTGAGAGTTGTGTGCTGTCAGTGCAGCCATTATTAAGGCCTTGGCTGCCTATTCAGGTAGATGTAAATAATGCCATAACATCACTTTTAAGATGAGTGAGGAAATTGTCCCATAAATACAGAGTAACTGGTAAACAATCTTGTTACTATGTCACAGGCATGCTATTTTTCTTATAAAAAATGTAATTCAAAAGAATTTTCACATACTACAAACATGAAAGGTGCTGTATAAATGCAAACCAAAAGAACTGCAGATGCTGTAAATCAGGAACAAAAACAAAGTTGCTGGAAAAGCTCAGCAGGTCCGGCAGCATCTGTGAAGGAGAAAACAGAGTTAACGTTAACTCTGTTTTCTCCTTCACAGATGCTGCCGAGCTTTTCCAGCAACTTTGTTTTTGTGGCTGTATAAATGCGTATTCATTTGATATTAATCTCTTATGCATACTGTGACAAAAGTAAAAAGACACATTTTGTTCATCACAATTTCTTTTCTTCAGTGCCATATGTCTGGGAAAGTATTGCCATTCATGTTTGGATCAGAGCAAACAAGATTTGCTGAAGTTTAGAGTGATTTGCATGTATGACGGCCATTCAGCCCACTGAATTTGCTCTGCCATTCAATGAGATCGTGGCTGATATGATAATCCTCAACTCCACTTTCTTGCCTTTTACCTCATTATCCTTGATTCTCTTACTGATTAAAAATCTGTCTTAGCCTTAAATTTACTTAATGACCTAGACTCAACAGTCCTCTGCAATAAAGAATTCCACAGATTCACTACCCTCTGGGAGAAGAAATTCCTCATTTCTGTCTTAAATGTGTAACCCCTCATTCTGAGATTGAGTCAGCCTCAACTAAAATATTCTGCCAGTTCTGGTCACTATGTTTTATGAGAAGACCTCAGAAAAATATAGTGATTGTAATGAGGTCAGCTAGCTGAACCTCATAGAATGAGTTCGCTGATTGGGCTGTTAATCTGGTCCATCAGGGAGGCCTGGCTGACATAAAAAGGTTGAATGTCAGGAATACTGACACTCTGGTGCCTGACTCTGTATGAGGTAGTACTATTAGCTAAGGATGGGTCATGCATCAATAACAGGTGATGAGATACCAGCTTCTGTTGTTATTTCAAAAGGGTACAGAAAGGATTTACAAGAATAATTTGTAAAAAAATTCAGTTACACAGATCAGAGAAACTGGGATTACTTTCCATGAAGAATAGAAGTTTTAAAGGAAATTTTATATAAATGTTCAAAGATGTGAGGAGCCTAAACAGGGAAAATAAACTATTCCCACTGGCACAAATTTTGAGATGTAGAGGATAATTTCTTTTCATGTAGCAAAATGTTTATGGAACAGAATGCACTATCAGAGTTCAGTGGAGGCAGGTTGTGGCTTTTAAAAGGGGATGAGATAGGCACATGGAGAGAAAAAGATTTGCAAGGGGTATGTGGAAGGAGCAGGTGAGTTGGACTGTTTTATTGCTGCACAGAGCTGGCAAAAATGACTGATTTGAAAGGCCTCCTTTTGTACTATAACCATTTTATGATTCTAAAAATGAACTATCTCTGCCCTTCCTCCTTGACCTATCTGTAGCTTTATAACTTTAAAATTATTCAGTTCGAGGTGAGGCCTAAATATCTATTTAGAGTGATCAATGTTTTATAGGGAGCTTGGGGGAGAATAATATCAATCATTAATAGTGTATACTATATTTGTAAATCACAATTAAACTCTAATAGCGAGCAGGGAATAAAATTTTGTATCTTTCCCTAAGAAGTACTTATTCAATTTACTGCTTTCTTCCTAAATTTCTTATTTCTAGATATAACCTCCAGGATTCCTACTCCAAACCTTTCTTTCTCTACTTAAAACAGTCATAGTCATCGACATACAGCACAGAAACACTCCCTTCAGTCCAACTTGTCCATGTCAACCAGATATCCTATATAAATCTAGTCCCATTTGCCAGCACTGGGCCCATCCTATTCATATATCTATCCAGATGCCTCCTAAATGTTGTAATCATACCAGCCTCCTCCACTTCCTCTGGCAGCTCATTCTATACATGCACCACCCTCTCTGTGAAGACGTTGCCCCTTAGATCCCTTTTAAATCTTTCCGCTCTCACCTGAAACCTATGTCCTCTAGTTTTGGGCTTCCCACCCTGGGGAAAAGACCTTGTCTATTCACTCTATCCATGCCCCTCATGATTTTATAAACTTCTATAAGGTCACCCCTCAGCCTCCAACACCCGACAGAAAATAGCCCCAGCCTACTCAGCCTCTCTCTATAGCTCAAACCCTCCAACCCTGGCAATGTCCTTAAATCTTTTCTGAACCTTTTCAAGTTTCACGACATCCTTCCTAAAGCAGGGAGACCAGAATTGCAAACAGTATTCCAAAAGTGGCCTAACGAATGTCCTCTTGTACAGCTGCAGAATGACCCCCTAACTCCTATACTCAATGCACTGACCAACAGGCAAGCATACCAAATGCCGCCTTCAATATCCTATCTACCTGCAACTCCACTTACAAGGAACTATGAACCTGCACACCAATATCTCATTGTTCAACAACACTTGCCAGGATCTTACCATTAGGTGTGTAAGTCCTGCCCTGATTTGCCTTTCCAAAATGCAGTACCTCACATTTATCTAAATTAAACTCCATCTGCCACTGCTTGGCCCATCTGATCAAGATCCTGTTGTAGTCTGAGGTAACCTTCTTTGTTGTTAGATCATCTTCCCTAACAGAAACATAGAAGATTGGAGCAGGAGGAGGCCATTTGGCCCTTCGAGCCTGTTCCACCATTCTTCACGATCATGGCTGATTGTCTAACTCAATAGCCTAACCCTGCTTTCTCCCCATAACCTTTGATCCCATTCGCCCCCCAAGTGCTATATCTGGTCACCTCTTGAATACATTCAATGTTTTGGCATCAACTACTTCCTGTGGTAATGAATTCCACAGGCTCACCGCTCCTTGGGTGAAGAAATGTCTCCTGATCTCCGTCCTAAATTGTCTACCCCAAATCCTCATACTGTGACCCCTGGTTCCAGACACAGTCACCATAACTCATGTGGCACAGAACTTGAGCAGTGTGGTGTAGAAATCATTCCGTGATCACTACAGGGAATTTACTCTTCAGAAGCGGAACACTTGACCCATTTACCCACACTGGTGTTTGTAAGTTACATCATATGCCAATCATTTTATAAGTTTTCCTGGAAAGATTTTAAATATTTCAAACATTGGAAAGAAAGCATTTATAGGGATTCAAATAGAGTAATGTCTAAACATATTGTTTAAACTCTTCAATAAGGATGAATTGTTTGGAATGCAAACAATAAATTGGTCAGTTAAGTGATAACATGATTATGCTTTCATCTTGCAAAGTAACTTCCCTACTTTTAAAAAATTATTAAATCATCAAAAACAAATCATTTCGAAACTGAACACTTTCGGTGAGAAGTTTCAATTCACAATTTTTTTACATTGTTAGTTTGCCAAGAGGAAACTGTATGCTGCAAAATTGTATTCCTAACAACTGCTTTTATTTTCATAGATCAAATGATGGCACTACACTAAGGAAAGTATTTTGGCATGAAGGCAGAATTCACATTGGAATCCAAATGCAGAGAAAAAACACTAAAGTGAAAAATCATATTTTGATTGGAAATTTTCTATTGTTTCAGCAACATATATCCTTTCACTAAATTACTACTTAATCATTGGGTATCATTTTGAATACTTCTGTCTGCAATAACATGTTGGATATGTGAGTAATATGAGCAGGTGGGCTCAGTGAGGGGGAGCCACATTTCTGAATAGGCATGGTCTTTCATATTGTGTTGAGGTTCGAGAGGTGGAGGGTATGGTGGTGGAGGATGGGGAAGGTATTAAGGGGGGTGTGGGAAATAGAGCAACAGTATGTACATGTGGTTAAGGTCCACTGTTTTAAGACCAGCTTCAGTTGCCACGAGTTGCTCTGCCTTTTAGGATGACCTACAGAGATTAGAACAAAGTCATACTGGATCAAATTGGGTCTCTCGGTTTCAGGCGATTCTCCCCTGTTTGGAGTAAGTGGTTTGGAGCAGACTTGTTAGCCCCAAAGATGTTCTGTGTATTAGCCAGGTACATATATGAAAGACATTGTTAAATTTGAAATGGTGCGGGAAAGATTTACAAGGATATTGCCAGGGCTTGAGATATAGGGGGAGGCTGAATAGCCTGGGGTTATTTTCCCTGGAATGTTGGATGCTGAGGGTGACGTTTTACAGAAGTTCATGAAATCATGAGGGACTTAGATAGTGAGTAGCAAGGTCTTTTCCCTAGAGTGGGGGAGTCTGAAACTAGGGGGTATAGGTTTTAAGGTGGGAGGGAAGATTTAAAGGGGGGGAAGATTTAAAAGGTGGCTGAGGGGTAAATGTTCACACAGAGGGTGGTGCGTGTATGGAATGAGCGACCAAAGTGGTGGAGGCTGGTATAATTACAACATTTAAAACCCATCTGGATGGGGACATGAATAGGAAGAGTTTACAGGGATATGGGCCAAATGCTGGTAATTGGGACCAGATTAATTTAGGATATCTGGCGAGTTGGACCGAAGAGTCTGTTTCCGTGCTGTGCGGTACTGAAGAAGGGTCTAGGCCCGAAACGTCAGCTTTCCTGCACCTCTGATGCTGCTTGGCCTGCTGTGTTCATCCAGCCCTACACCTTGTTATCTGAGCTTTTCCAGCAACTTTGTTTTTGTCCGTGCTGTACAACTCCGACTGTATGTGGGGTCAGGCACCTCTGTAAAATTTTGATGGTTGCCAGCTCCGAAGTAGCGATGCTCGTCCTGGGAACTCTGACCGAGCTGTACAAGTTATAAATCCTGCTCTCTCACAGATCCTTGGTCAGATAATCCTGTTCTGTCTAGTTTCGCCTACGCTCTACCGTCTTCTCTCATCCTTCAGGCCTCAAAACGGCCGTCACAGTGGCGAGACGGGGGAGGGAAGAATCTCTGGGAAGCCCACCTCATCACCCACCGGACTTCACTTTGTTAGGTATTTATAACAGAATAAGGTATTTGGCTCCGAGTCTAATCTCCTCGTACCGGTACAAGTGACGGACGGAAGAAAACAGCCACTGCGCTTCAGAAGCTGACTGAGCTCAACACGACTGCGGCTGCGCGGGAGTGGGGGGGCGGCAACCTCGGTCATTTCAGGGGGATAAAATATTATTTTATATTTATAATGAGAGTAAGCTCTTATTTCGACCGGGCTCTGGGTCACTTCAATTTAAAAATAAAAAGTATAATTTTGGAGCGAGGTCGTGCTGGTGTGGTGGTGATTGCGCGGGCTATAAAAGGAGCGGAGCAGCTCCCCACTCGCTCTCTCTGGGTAATGGCGGCAACTGAGGAGCGCGAGCGAGAGGTGGGTAACCGTTGAGGGAACAGACCAACCGCCAAATTCTTTCCGTTAAATTATAAAGAGGCATCCCTTCTCAAACCCTACTTGTCGCCTCAGAAATTAATGTCAGTAGTTTCCTGCGTGAGTGGAAAAGTCCCCGCTTTTATTTTTCTTGTTTTCCCAGGCAGGGAAGTCAAATTCCAACGTGTCTTGTGTGCAAAGACAAAGATAAGGACATTCTGCATGTCGTTATATTTGTTAATGGATAAAGTGTATCTCTGCGACGGAGTAGTGGTAGTGTCCCTCGCTGTGAACAAGGAGGACCGGTTCCTTTCCCACCTGCTCCAGAGGCGTGTTATATGGGCGGGAAAAACGATTCCAGTTGAGGGCTGCTGTGGTAGTGTCCTCCTCTCTGGGCCAGGTGACCCTGGTTCAAGCCCCACCTGCCCCACAGTGGGATTGTGCGATGATGATACTACGAAACGGAGTGATTAGACACCGGTAAGGAGTTGAGAGCAGGGAGAAGTCGTGCCTCATAGGGGTTAGGGAACGGTTTGGAGTGGATAGTGCCTGGGAAACCTGGCCTTGTATTCCCATCAGACAGCGGGGCTCTAGGCCTGCGCTCGCTGCCGCTTCCTCAGCCGGGTTTCTTTCGCTCTTTGCCCCGAGGGCGCGGTTGTTATGTCTTTCTCCCCCTCAATGAACCCGGCTACACCAAGACAGGCCATGCTTCCATCTCTGCACGATGACCATTGCATTGGTGACAATGAGGCCTGTGACAAGTCCCTGGGGCACCCCACCGCCTGTGCTAACGTTGTAAATATTGTGCTTCTCTTAAAACCACCCGGTTCACCTCCCTAAAAAAAAAAACTACAGCATTGGTTTAACCTATTTGAAAAAAAATAAAAATCTAACCTGAAGTATAGATCCACGGATCGACTTTTTTTTGCAATTCTCCGGCCGTAATGGGAATTTTAGGAGGCCACGTGTCGAGGGATACCAACACGTGTAGGAAGCTTTGAACTGGGTGCCGCATGTGTACTGTGTGCAGCATCCGAGCTGGAGAGTCTTCTGGATATTTTCAGAACGTGCTCACCCTGTGAGCAGTGAGTTCAGGGTGATGGATGGATGCGCATTCAGAAACGATGCGTCTTTGAGGTGTTTGCTTTTTAGTGACAGACAAATCTGTAACTTATTGTGAGCCTTGTACGTTGTGCTCAAGGTTAGGAGGTGAAAGATGACGCCCTACAGAATGATTGCAGCGTGCCAATCAGTGAGGCTATTACGGTACAACAATGAAAACAGGCAGGCAGTGATGTTTTTAACCAGCTTAGGATCTGGCGTGGAAGCCTTAAAATAAAGGACCAGTAAGATAATAGTAACTTATTCCCACTTCTGCCAGTGAGAGTAGAACAAAGGTAGGAGAAATAAGGATGGTATAGGAGGGCTTCATAATCTTGGAATTAGGAATGTTTCTATTGTTGCCCAGTGACTGGACTGGGATCAGTATTTTGCAGGAGGACCATTCTTGGTTGGGAAGAGTTTTAATTAAATTGTTACGTAAAATAGTCATGAATGTATGAAGTAGAAAGGAGGGACAAGATATCTGATGGATTGAAGGTGTTCTTTTAATAGAAGCAAATGGCTAGAAATACCAAGACTGGTTTAGAATGCATTTATCTAAGCGCAGAGTGAATAAGGTTTAAAACTGCAAGTATGGATGGTCCTGTGGGCATATACTGTTGTGGCAATAACAGAAATGAATCTTAAATGTGAACTATTTACTTAATGGTGTTGGGTTGAAGAAAATAAAAGGGAATGAGATGGATGTTAATACTAATTATGTAGAGATGAGGCGTGAAGGCTCAGTGAGGGCGCTTGAGAGTTACAAGTTAGCCAGGAAGGACCTAAAGAGAGAGCTAAGAAGAGCCAGGAGGGGACATGAGAAGTCTTTAGCAGGTAGGATCAAGGAAAA